GGAAATATACAAGTATGAGCAAGTATCTGTGGGATCAGGGGCGGATCCAGGAATTTTTCAGGGGGGGGGGGGGGGGGTTCAAATTTTTTCGAGTACACAGAATTAAATTCGCTTCAAACTGTTTTCGGTTCGTTCACTACACTGGAAGTTGCAAAATCTTTATTGTCAGGGTAGCCCTTGCATTGCTTGGCCAATAAGACAAGGGTAATGCGTTTAGAGCCTTACAAAGTACAAAGCTGCAGCACAGGCAGAAACTAAGGCCGTGACTGCAGCATTTTCCGACCTGACGGAAGGCGAAGTTCTCTGACTGTCCGCCGGCTGGGACTCCGTGTCGTCACATTCGCGCCGTACACGGCGGAACAAAGCCAAGCTCAATGGCAACTGATCGGCCGCTCGCCTCTTTGGCAGACGTCGCGACATGGCAAACTACACGACAAACACAAACATTATCTTCGTACTGCGACGGAGGAAACCTACAGTTCAGCCAGCGCGAAATAAAACAAAACGACAAGGAAGGGAAGGAGGAAAAGTGGCAGTTTCTCCACCTTTTGCTCCACCGCGACATGGCAAACTACACGACAAGCACAAACATTATCTTCGTACTGAGACGGAGGAAACGTACAGTCCAGCCAGCGCGAAATAAAACAAAACGACAAGGAAGGTAAGGAGGACAAGTGGCAGTTTTTCCACCTTTTGCTTGTTGCTCCAGCACTTGAACTGTCGACCGTTTCAAGTCACATGATACGCGTACAGACACTTCGATTCGAACGGTACGCGTACAACACTCAACAGTCCCGACCACTGCATGCATGCAGTGACCTAGTACATGTACCTGCACTGCCTGTACGTGACTACTGGCATGCATCCTGCATGCATGCCAGTGAAGTCTACTAGCTGCTGGCGCGGTACGCTACACTTCGCTGGCTGCGCACGTGGATACCACAAAAATATCGACTGGACCCATGGTCGAAATTATTTTAGGGGGTTCGTCCGAACCCCCTGAACCCCCCCCCCCCCTGTATCCGCCCCTGGGGATGTGTAACAAATGTGTATTTAAAAAAAGTCTACTGTTGCTCGTCTTTGGTTGTCCTTTTCTACTATCAGGACTGACAGACATCGATGAAGAAGGCAAGTACACGTGGACATCCAAGCAGCCGGTGACATTCGCTAGCTGGGGTCCTGGAGAGCCCAGCGAGAGTGTGCACGCGGATAGCACGAAGGGTCCGAAGGACTGTGTCACTCTGCGCGCGGCTACCGGGCATTGGTATGACACGGACTGCACCGTGCAGCAAAGCTTCGTGTGCATGGTGGACGACGGTGAGTTCAGAATTCGATGACTCATTAGAATAATGTCTTTACAGTACTAATCATCAGTAACTGACATTGCAAATGCTAGTATTGTACAGTGCCGTTCAGGAATTCTGCTTATGGAGTACGAAATGTTGACCATTGCAGTGTCTGCTCTAGGATTGTGGGACAGCCGGGTACATGTGTACCTGGCGCAAACATTTCAACCGGGTCGGAGCCGAGCACACATGTACCTGGCGCTGTCTCACCAGCCGAGTCACATGCTTTAACTGGTTGGTTTATTTTAATTCGGACAATAAACGGGAACTAGGCCCAATGATATAAAGGCGAATGGATAAGCCGCATTTAGAAAAGAGAGGACAGGAATTAGAAAATTACGAAAGAAGAAGAAGTATCTGATACATACAAGCCATGTAGTCAGTCCTTTCAAAGTTCGAAAGTGTAAAGTACCAACCAGGTCACAGGTGACCCGGTGCTATATTTTCAACCGGGTCCAAGCGCCGCCCAACCGGGTGGATTACCCGGCTCACCCGGCGCTGGAGCAGACACTGCATTGGGGCTGGGTTATGATCAGATTGAACCGCACTTAAAAAAGTCTATGTGTTTACATGGCTCTGTGGATCAAGGCGCAGCTGCAGCTCCTAATGCGGTGCGAGGTGAGTAGGCCAGACCCACTACAGAGTGACGGGAGACCACCCAGATTTCACCAACCCCCGTGCTGTGATCCACACAGTGGTGGCCTGGTGTGAGGGTAACATGGATGCAGAGAATGTGATCTTCGGTCTCTACTCAATTACTTCAAAGTAATAGTGTTTGTGTCCATGATTTGCATTTGCATGTGTGGCTTCTCCTGTTAGATGATCAAACGGTGGCACCCCCGACAGTTGCGCCACCCAAGCAGCCTGGTAAGCATTGACAACTAGAAGAGTGTGCTAGATTATTTCTGCTACTAGTATGCTGCCGCTGCCGCTGCCGCTGCTGCTGTGTCTACATTCACTGTGCCATAGAGTGCAGTGCAGTCGTACCATTAGAGAGGTTCCGCATAACGTAATTACGTTAGTAAAAAACGTAGTCGATCAACGGAAAGTCTTACGTAAACTGCATGTGCATCTGTGTTCCGCCATACGGAGTTTTCAAATCACGTAGCTGCCCTTGGCAACTCCGAACGCGGCAGTGTACAACCAGATCGACC